TCCGAAGGGTGAGCTAGCAGCACGGCACTCGACAACTCGTTCTTGCGCTGGATGAACGCTTCTTCCGCCTTTGTCATTTTTCAGGAGTTTCCAGGTACACGTGTAGCGGGGCTTAGATAGACACGGCATTTTTTACGAAACGGCGATAAAGTCTTTCACAATTTGCGGCTTCGGAAAGTCACATTTCGCGGTTGCTGAGCGGGTCTCGCGGGTCGAAATGTTGTGTGCTAGATATTCTACTTCACTTACCCCGAAGACGCACTTTACCGGGTTAACCACGATTTGATGTTGCCTCATTCTTTCAAAAAGAGTTGTTAGATTTCGCACGTACTCCTCTGGGTTCGCGGAGAAAACTAAAATGTCATCTATGTACGCGAAACAAAAGTCTAAATCACTGAGCACCGTATTACGATATCTCTGGAAAGTTTGTGCTGCATTGTGTAAACCAAAGGTCATCACTGTGAACTCAAATAACCCATATGGCGTACACACTGCAGTCTTGGGGATGTCCTCTTCGGCCACCCGAATTTGATTGTAGGCACGTACCAAGTCAATTGTGGAGAATACTGTTTTTCCCTCTAGTCTGGCCGAGAAATCCTGGATGCGTGGTATGGGATATCGGAATTGTTACACCGTTCAGCCTCCGATAATCCCCACAAGGATGCCATTCACCACGATTTTTTTTTTTGGCAAGACTGAGACTTCCGCACTTTCGGGCGTTTATACCGAACTTGGCGTGGTAATAAGACCCTTCCCGTTTTGTTGCAATTATCCACTTTTTTTCTCCAAATTGGATCCGTAGGAAAGCTATTATACTTAATAAAAAATTTAAATGTAACGTTTAAGTACACAAAACTATGGTAATTTACCCATGAAACGATAAAGTGCTACCTTTTTTCGTGCGATTTGCATAACCGTAAGCAAAACAACTCCTAAGCTTTATAACAAATTAAAATTGCACTAATCTACTAAAAAATGTCAGGAATTATATTCAGTACTATATCTACACAAAACCCAGCAAAAAAATCACACACTTTACAAATAATGCACTAACATAGAATCAACTAACAAATCAAGAACTTCGCAATATACACAGAAGTGGCCGGCGTTCTTACCCGAAAACAGCTGATCGCAATCTGCTGTCTCACTTCTATGTAGAAGTCAATGCGTCTCACTTTAAGCTGTGTCTATACTTAGGACACGTGATTGATCGTGAGTAGTTGGACATTTAGTAAAATCTGCATAAAGTGATAGGCGGCACACTTCCATGACCTACTTCAACCCTATAATCATTTATAGAAACTGTATTAATTCAAGTTAATGATTAAATTCGGGTGCAGAGGGCTGATGACCCACTCACTTTAAATTCTACCATCCATGATTCTGAAACGAATTTTGAATTAAAAAGTCGCACTAGAATTGGTACATGGAATGTTAGAACTGTGCTGAACGCGTCAAAACTATTGCAAATAATATGGAATCAGTGTACTAAAAATAAAAATAATGGGTTTTCCCTTTTATTATGGTCAGGGAAAGATGAAAACGCAGACAGACATAATGGGATCCTTTTAAATCGACGCGCCAAAAAAAGTTTTACACTGTAGACTCCAATTTAGATAGAATAATCACAGTGCGATTAAACTCTCTGATAAGAAAAATTCGGTCAGGAGCGACGGTCGCTCGGGCACCAGCTTCCTCTCCGGGGGAGGGAGCGCCGGGGTGCTCTAAAGCCGGAGACACGGAATTCAGGTATTGAGCGCCCGCCAAAACACGAGAATAAAAATAAAACGGCAAGGATTTTTACACAGTAAATAGGGTTAACGCAGAAATAGACCACTTCTATCAAGAATTAATAGATGTTTCCTCCAAAACAAATATAGGAGATATACTAATACTGATGGGTGACTTGAATGCGAAAATAGGAAACAGAGGAGCAGAGACAGATATGGGTGACTAAATACCAGAAATAATAATGACGACTAATAATAAAACTAGTAGAATTGAGCCTAGAAAATAACCTTGGGCACTCTGTTCCCACATAATGACTGCAACCAAATTACATGGGTGTCTCTAGATAAAAATCGAATCGATCATATAATGATGAGTTCTAGATGGAGACAGTGCTTATCAACCACTTACCAACAGCTGAACTGAAACTTAAAATGATGATAATGAATTAAAGAGCCATTATTTAAGAAAAAGTAATTATAATCTGCAAAGACTAAACGACATTGTAGTGTAAGACAATGAAAAACATGGCTCGAGCAAAAAAGAAATGACAAATAGTTAAAAAGGAAGGATAACAATGAGCAGAGGGAAATGGTTAAGGAAATTGTGCATGAAGTGGCAAAAGAACTACTAGGCCACAGATAAAAATAACAGGTTATTAGGCATGAGGACTTTGGAAATGACAGACCACTATTTGATAAACAAGGCAAATTACTAACAACAACTAAAGAACAAATACCATGGCCCGAGCGCTATTAAGAACCACTAGAAGAGGAAAAATAAGAAATTATTTCACAAAAATAGAAAACATTGCTGTAACCGAACATAATCCTTTAGAAATAGTCATAAGCCAACCTACACAATCTGAGATTAAAAACGTAAGTAATTATAATTAAGCACTTGAGAAACAATAAAACAATGAACTATGGAAGGCTGACATTGATAATTCTGCAGCATTAATTACTCAGTTCATGATATTATTAATTTAACAGATGAAATTATCAAAGTCATTTCTCTCAAAATGAAGCAACAGTTAAAATTAGTTTAAATAGCATAAATGATGAACTACATGCTGTACATTCCAACCCTAACTACTACCAACTTATAGGATGCCATTCACCAATTTTCTAATGCTTTAACCTTGTCTATATATGAAATAATTTTTTTATTTGTTTTTTATTTTATTTTCCAAATGCGGTTTCTAGGTGTTACTTTTAATTTCTCCCTGTGAAATGTAAACTTCAAATTCAGGATACCGCAGTCTCCTCTGAATACCTAATTTCATATCCTCAATCGTATGATAAAAAATTCAACAGTGGGCAATTGTTTCACTTTATACACACTTGCTATTTTTAATGGTAACAATAAATTTGAAAATTGATTCTTGTCCGACAAGAAATGACGTCCAGACGAACGTCCCGAAGTTTGTTTATTAATGGCGTCTTCGTTTGTTCGTCCTCGTCACAATTTCCATTGTGGCATCAAGTACAATTTCTTCTTGCAAACTATGCAGCGTGGAGACGCATAGCGACAGCGGTGCGAAGGGCGTCTCTTCGTAAATCAAGACTGGCATTGTTGCTGCTTACCTCGCAAGCCAACTAGGTCCCTCAATTTGAGTGTTTGCTCCCGTCACTCGGCCCCCGCCACATGAGCTCGTGATCTTATCTAGATTAAAGGGAAATTTCTTGAATTTTAAAGATTGCGCAGTAAGTATTATAATAATTAGAAGGAAAGAAACAAGAAACTCTAATAATCATGCTACATTCTCAAGAATTTCAACCACAACAAAGAATTACATGATGCTAAATTATATATCAATTCAAGTTACTGATTAAGTCAAAGTGAGTTCACCAAAATTATATCGTCGACCGAATTCCCATAACTAATGAGCAATTCGAGAGTAAGTGTTCAAATTTAGGCTCTAAGGAAGTAATATATTAATATAAGACGAAATATACATAAAATATCCCCGTCATTTCGAGTCCCTGGTGAAAATGGTTTAGGTGATGATAATTTTCAGAATTCTTTCTCTCAAAATGGATCAATGTTTAAGATCATTTTAATTCCTTAAATGAACTACTTAATCTCGCATGAGAGGCTATGAAGTGTGAATGACTTAAATAAAAGCATCCAAAACCCTAGATATCGATATTAAAATATCTAAGTTGACCTTGAATTACTGCATTGAAAATGTACATTATGGTCCTAAAATTGTCTTAGAATCATGAAGGGTTAAAAATCCTAACATAAACTATGAATTTACAAACAGTGAGGCTGCCAATCTATAGCGTGACATTCCATAAACGTGCTAGAACATGCATGGATGATTGCCTACGTTAAAGAATGATTTTCGTATTTGCGATTTCGCAACGTTGTTTTCTGTTGGCGCGAAATTTAATTTTGAAAACGGGATACCCCAACTCGTTAAAAGTGCACACATACGATTAAAAAGTTGGCAATAAAATGATGTCTAGACACACGAAAAAAAGAATCAGTTTCAACTGAAAAGTTCTACGTCACCTTGCATATCATATACTCTGATAATAATTATGGATTGCGCAAGTTAATATCTCGATCAACGATTACTTTGAACGCGTGGAGGTGTCGCCGGTTGACTATTTTATGGAATGATTTGTACAGTTTCGCGACGCAATTTTTTCTGGCGCGAAATTTAATTGTGAATTGAAAATCATATTTACAAGTTGCTATCAAAAACTATTTGCTCAATTTTTAAAATTATTATCAGTAAAATAAGCTATTGTGAACATGTATTAAAATGATGAGGATTGACCTGTCCGACTTTAAAGAATTGTCTATAGAAATTATTGACTTAAAATATAAATTGATTCATAAAAGTAGGTTTCAAAATTTCCGAAGTAATCAACCAAAACTAAATTCCAATTACTTAAATTAGATGTTCTTCAGGAAATATCTTAATTCCTTTGTTGAAAGTTTCCGGGTTTCCAAAGGATTATGTGCAAAGTCAGTCAATGATTAATGACGGTATTTATTGACGGGTTTAAATAATAAAGATAAAACGATAAAGCCAAAGTTCGAGAATTGTTCATTAAACATACAGCGCTCACTTTGTGGTTTACATATCTCAATGATCTACACTTTTTCGCAATTAGCAAATCCATTACACTTAAAAATATCACACAAATATAAAATAAAATTCATGTTTAAGAACCTGATAAACAACCTCTTGGTATCTGAAATTTCCTCAGATTAGTGTAGTTAAATTCATTTCCTAAAATCCAATTTTTAGTTTGTCGAACTAGCCACTTCAAGTAGCTTATCTTATCTTAGCACAATTATGCATCTCTATCACAAAACGCTACTTTTAAGTTAAAACGCTGCAGTACATCTGGTAGTTGCTGGACATCCTATCAGCAGAAATGAAGGTGATAGTAGTAATAGTTCTTGTACTTAGCACAATCGAAAAGAGTGTTAGTGACATTGGTAAGGAAAAAAACTTGATCAATTTGTTTACTTTTATATTATTGTGTTTAGATTTAAGGTATGTAGACGATACTATCGACCCTTGTGATGATTTTCACCAATTTGCTTGTGGCAACTTTGGTAAATATCATACTAGACCGGAAAACCAGTCCACGTTAGATCTTTTTACAATGACAGAAGATGAGTTAGTAGAAATTGGAAAAAGTGAGTAAATCCAAATGCACAATCTTTCCATACACAGGTGTTACATTTACTTTAGCAATACTTGGAAGCCCTAAAAATTCACAGGATCCTATTGCTTTAAACAAAGCTAAATCCGCTTATCAAGCATGTGTAAAGACCCCTGATTATGATTATTACGATCTTCCTGAAATCAGCATCATTGAAGAATTTGGTGGGATGCCTTTGGTAACTAATGAAAAAGTAGACAAGGTGTCATTTTCTGAAATAGCCAAGATAGCGGGCACATTTGGAATTCCTCAGTTATTTCAGTTTACAGTTAGAAACTCCAACCCCGATTTTTATTTACTCATTGTAAGATTTTGTTTAACAATTAGGAGAAAACTGAAATGTTCGTTAGATGTTTCCAGATAGTTTTGATCCACCACAGATGGTCCGACCTCAATCAATTCAAACTTATGATGAAATATTAGAAGAATCACTAAAAAAGTTTGCCAAAATTCAAACCAGATCATCTGGAGAAGACGATCCTCTTGATGTTTTTATGTTAAAAGTGGCCAAACATCTTTTCAAGAAATTTCCAGGGACATCTGAGGAAGATCTCAAAAAAGATTTAGATGACGTTAAAAAGTTCATGGGACAACTTTTTAGTGGAGGCGTAAGTGTGAATTTCAATTACAACATCCAACTGGGTTAATTTTTCTCAGATAGTAGATGACGAGATGATTGATCTAGATTCAGCGGTTAATATAAGTGATCTTCAGGACTGGACCCAAAAGCAGTTTGGTGACGAGATAGATGTAATTCAACGAAGTATTTTTGCTCTGTCTTCAAATATCAATTAATTTTAGATAAACTGGATCGATTACCTTAACGAACATTTAAAGTGGTCCAATATTAATATTACAGAAGATTTTACGCTTTATCTAATGCCTGCTGAAGCTGTTTATGGTGTCTTGAATCTTGTACGTAAAACAGATCCAAAAGTCGTTAAAAATTTTGTACTTTTGCGAACTTTTTTGTACATGGCTCCCGACAGCGACTTACCCATGAGACAAGCTTTCGAGGAATACTATAAATCTCTGGGTTATCAATATTATGAAAGGTAGAAATATAGAAAGATTAAAAAAACAAATAACTTGGATTACTTTCAGATCAGATTATTGTTCCAGAAAAATAATGGATGTTGTGGATTCGGTTAGTTTAAGTTTTGCTGTAACAAATAACTTCATTAGATATCATTTTGACATAAATAAGATCGCTAAAGTAAGCCCAAATTTTGAGTATTGATTAGAATAATAACAACACGACTTTTTAGGCATTTAGAATCATTGATAAACTCAGGGATATTTTCAAAAGTGTTATACCATCTTTGGACTGGATTGATGATGAATCACGTAACACTGTTCTTCAGAAAATCGACAATGTTGTTGTGTTTTTAGCGTATCCAGTCTTTACTAACGATAAAACCAGTCTGGATCACTTTTATGAAAATGTTCGAATTTGTGAATGGGATAACTACGGAAATGCACGAAGAATTAGAGCTTTCAAAAAAGCTTATGCCCTTAGCCAGTATTTGAACCACGATCTGTATGTAACGCTAGTCAATCTACCAAACATTAAAATATGTGTTTTAGTTGGACGACCTCTCCATTTGAAGTTAATGCATATGCTACAAGAGCCAGTAATAGAATAAGTACAAGAACCAATTTTTGTTTTAAAAGAGTTACAATATTTGTATTGTAGTGGCACCACTTTCGCTTCTTCAGTCGTCATATTTTAACGGAAATGATCCTGTGTATGACTACAGCCGTTTCGGAAGCATAATTGCTCATGAGTTTATTCATCACTTTGATAGTGTTGGCGTCATGTATGATAATGAAGCCTCTTACAACAATTTGCTATCAAACGATAGTATGGAAATTTTTGAGACTAAAATCCAGTGTTTTGTAGACCAATACAGCAATTTTTATGTACCAGAAATCGACTCTTATATTAAAGGTAATAAAACTCTAGATGAAAATACCGCTGACAATGGAGGATTAAAACATGCATTTGCTGCATTTAAACAACTCGTCGATAGTCAACTGATTGAAAACACTTCTGAAAAGTACACTTTGGAACAACAATTTTTTATAAATTATGCCACGGTAAAGAAAGAGTGTTTTTAAAATATGTATTTTTTTTTTCGTAATGAAAATGTTTTAGCAATGGTGTAGTGACGATTCGGATGCATATTTAAAAAAATTGGTAGACAGTAATGAACATGCTCCTAATCGTTATAGAGTGTTAGGTACGTTGGCTAATATGGATGAATTTTCTGAGGCTTTCAGTTGTCCAGTTGGAAGTAAAATGAATCCAGTTAATAAGTGCATATTGTGGTAAAGGCAACATGTAACTAAACAAATATATTACTGGCTTCGCCAACTATTAACGGATATTTTCATTTGATAAATACTGAAATGCATTTCATGTTGGTGTATATATAACTAAACAATATTTTTATACATAAATAAAGTACAGCTGATGAAAAATTTTACAGAAAGTGTACTACATTACTTACTAAATAAGAAAATCTGCACATGAATGTTATTTGAGACTTCATTGTCTGATGTAACAAGCAACAAATTAATATCTCCAAATAATAAATTAGTATTGGCAATAATTGTTATAAAATTTTCTAAACATGACTTTAACTTTTCTAGGAGTTTTACTTGTTGTATTATATACAAGAATACTTTTTTATATGTAGTCACCTTTTTTTTGTTTACCTCCTTCCCCATAAAGGCATCCTTTGTTTTTATAACTTTATTGACTGAAAGTACAAAAATGGAATGGATATTCAAAATGATTAGAAACGTTATTTTTGTCTTATATCTTGCTGTTAAGATGACCGCGGTCCAGTAAGACTATTAACACGATTAATATTTTCTTTAACATTCTCCCTCGAATGGAGAGCTCACCCGCTGAGTAATGCCCAACAATTTCTGTTTTCTACACTTCCGGGTAACGACAGCTCCACTCATAGTGAAGGCGTAACCAGTATAAAAGATCTTCGGTCAATATTACAACCGGCGCTACAACTATAGTAACCTCATTTGACATACAACTGTTAAAACTTATAACTCAAACTGGCTATTGTAAGCTTTGTGGACCCGAACCGCGAGATTTACTGTCCATTGTTGGCACAATGTAGCTGTGAACTGAGTTAAGTAATACAGTAGCTAGTTTGACTTATGGGGGTGGTTTGGCTTAAGCCGCTTAAGTCATAAAAGTTTTAACAGGTGTATGTCAAATGAGGTTACTATACGCAGCCTGTCAAGCTTTTTTGTATCCTCCATATTTTGTGTTTTATTTAGTGATACTTTTCCAACCTTGGGATCGACCACTTTGCATCTGAACGCATTCCGCCACAAAAAAAAACCCAAACACAATGTAGGGTTCCATTTGATAGACGATTATAGTTCACAGACAATTTTGGCGGGATGTTTAAATTATCACAGTACCATCCTTACAAAAACACCACTTGAATAATATAATTTTCGGTTGGTGGTGTTTCTTATACCCACCACACCCTCTCAGAAATAAGGGTACTAAATACTAACTGAATCCACGATGGAAGAATTCAACACAAAAGCCAAAGAGCAAGAAGATTTGGGGAAAAAAATTCAAGCTCCCTTTAGCAACGCAAAAAATGACTCGATAAAAAAAAACAAAACTGGCGGTCCAAAAAGGCAGAACAACTCCAAGAGTATTGGAACGAAGTTCAACGAAATCATGAAGAATCTGACGTCCACCCTCAGAAAAATTCACAAGTACTTCGAAGTAAAAAATGCTTCGATCAACTGGAAGCGTTGCACGAAGATACAAAGAAATACATCGAATCAATTTAACTAATATTAAGACTACAACAAATCCCCACAGAAACGACGAAAATTAACAGCGATTTAGTCCAGGACAATACATACCTATATACCCAGGCAACATGATGTCGTCTTTTTCACGTGAATAAATGGTCATCATTTACGTCATAGTGACCAAAGATTTCACGTGATATTGACGTACCAATGACGGTCAAATGTCTCGTCCAGATGACGTCATTTTCTAACGAACTATTGACGTGATGTATTGACGTTTTAGAGACGGCATTTATTGTCCATTTTAAAACGTTTTTTATATTTTAATTTTTAGAAAAAAATATGCAATAAATAAAACACTGAAATAATTTTATATTTTTATATTGTTTACCTTGAATAAAATATTATAATTCGTTATAATCACCAGGTAAACCCCATAACAAAGTATATATTAATTAAAGTTAAAACAAATTAGTATAAAAAAATTAAATTTACTACAGTTCTGTACAACCAACAATGAACTTCAATAAACAAATAAAAAAATATGTCAATTAAACAAATTAAAGATAAACCACTCCTAAGAACACAAACAAATCTACATACAGGTAATTACGAGTATAATTAGTATAAACAAAAAAAAGGATAATGTACAATATATAATCAAAAATAAACGTTGCAATAAAATATGCTATTTAAAGAAAAATCAGTTTTAAAAACACAAAGAGATCTATTTAGTTACAAAGAATATTAAAAGAAAACTATAATAAACTACATATAAATCAGTCTTAAAAACACAAACAAATCTATTTACAAAAAATATTAAAAAAAAGACTAGAATAAAGGGAAAAGACAATTGAATCGCATTGTTGAAGTTACTTGATTTTAAAACGCACTGTAAAACCACATTATGTGTAAAACTGTCTAATTCACGACGACTTGACTGTCCCCAACACTCAAAAAAGTACCGTTAAGAATTAGTTCTGTTTTAACAATCATATCAATAAGTTTTTTAGGTTTGCCTCAATTTATTACACTGAAAAGAAAAATCCGTTGGAGTGCATGGATTAATGGAAATGCAATCATTTTTTCGTCTATGGGCAATAGCAAGCATTTGGCTATTATTAAATTTAAGGGATTACAGCTTTTTAAAAATGCTAAATTTACTTGAATCTAACGGATAATCGTAAAATGGTTCCATTGACAAAAACGTACAGCCTATCAGGAAAATCTCGTTGTCAATACTTTTTACAATGAAGCGAAATGTACCATGTATAGTAAGTTACCAAAAAGTATCGTAGTATTACAGGCATCTACCTGTATATTAGGGTGATTCAAAAAAAAAAAAATTATTTTTTTTTTCGTGCAAAGAGGTTCAAAAGTTTCTTTTCAACGTAAAAAAATACCAGTTAAAATTTGAGCTCTTAATATTAATATTAAGACCGTCCGCATCGCGTTTTTCTATTTCCCATAAGAATAACATGGGAAAATTTTTGTTTGCACCTTCTGATTTTTATTGCTAGCCCGTCGTGTGTCGTGAAAAAAATTCAATCACATATTTTTATAGAGAATTGAACGCTCTACAAAAAGTGTCTCCTATGATTGTGCGAGAAACCTGATAGTTGAAGAGTTATTTTAGGCTAAAGTTAAATTTATCCAAATTTTGACGTTTTTGATGCATTACAATAAATTTGATTTTATTGGAATAAATCACCACAAAAATTTATACACATTTTAAATTTAGTTTTTTAAACAGTAATTGTTTATAATTTTATGCTATAATAAGGCCAGTAAAACTCTTTCCGAACATTTTCAGCATCAGTGGGTTAAAAAATCATAGTCAGGTTTCTCGCAAAATCATAGGAGACACTTTTTGTAGAGCGTTCAATTCTCTATAAAAATATGTGATTGAATTTTTTTCACGACACACGACGGGCTAGCAATAAAAATCAGAAGGTGCAAACAAAAATTTTCCCATGTTATTCTTATGGGAAATAGAAAAACGCGATGCGGACGGTCTTAATATTAATATTAAGAGTTCAACTTTTAACTGGTATTTTTTTACGTTGAAAAGAAACTTTTGAACCTCTTTGACACGAAAAAAAAAATTATTTTTTTTTTTTGAATCACCCTACTGTATATAATATCCAATATTATGTTACATATGTATATATGAATTCATTGTATTTTTTTAACTTACAAAGAAATCTGCTTGTTTTAATTTGCAAAGATAATCTTGTAATTCGTCAAAATTTATTTAGGTGTGGTCTTGGCGGCATAACTTCTATTTTTGTTTTCTTTTTCAGTTATCAGATTTGATAACGTTTCCATGCTGGGAGATTTTTTCACTCGTTTCCTTCAGCATTTCTTTCGTTTCGCACATGTGTTTTGTATTTGTTTCAAATCTAGAATAAAATTATGTTCATTACATTAGCATTAGTTCATAAAAAATTGTAGTAACATACCTTTACAATATTTTATGGCGTCTCATTTTCAAAAACAATCACCGTAAGTTCTTCATAATCAGTGGGAGTATCTTCAATGATTAATGGTGGTTTTTCCAGCTTATCTGAAAAAACTGCTTTTGTTATCTACGTACAGTTATCAAAAATAACAGAAACACGTAAAAATTAAAATGATTACTTTATTAGTATTAACTTACCTAGTATAAATAAGTACAACCTACACTGAATGGCAGAAATTTTCACAAAACTGCGTTAAAAATAAAGTGAGTAATAACGGATACACGAGAAAGTTTCGGTGGTTGAGAACCAACTGGAAATATTGGAATGCTTCACTGTGAAGTGCAATAAACATAAATACCGAAAAAAGGGCAAGTCCGAATGCACACCCCACACATCTGATGTATTGTATAGTAAATACGGAAGTTGAGCATTATTTTTTCATAAGATGAAATAAATTTAATAAAACTGAATACTAATCACTCTCTAATTTTTTTGGTAACCATCGTCACTTTATAAACGTCTTTATAAAATCAAAATTCGACGAAGGAATTCTTCAAAACCTTGTCCCGTTTTAGGGACAATGGACAAAGAATTTTTATGACTTTGTTTGTGTCGTAGGGTCTTTTCATTATTATACGCTCAACCCCAGATGTTCTATTTATAATTTGCCAAGCAGGTATTTACAAAATAACACTTCCAGAGTAAATAAGTTTTCAGAAATAATTATTTTATTAGAAATTATTAGAATGAAAAAACTTGTCTTTGATGTATTTCTAATAAAGCCGTTGTATTTTTTGCTCTAAATATAATTAAGCATTATGAAGGCCACTTTTTAAAGAATACGACGACCCACATTTAATTGATCATATAATCTATAAAAAATGACGAAGGAAAGACGGCCCTTTGACGTCATTAATTGACGTCAGAAGTAAGTCATAAAAATCTCGTCATTATCACGTGATTTTTTGGGCGAATTACGTAGCCGACGAGTTATGACCAAAAATTGGCGTGAATTAGACGACAGTCTGCTGCTTGGGTAGTATAGCCAGGTTTGAATTTTTGTCAAAATCAAGATGATCTATGAAAGTGATTTAGAAGAAATTTTACCGACGAGATGAGAGAGAGACAGAAAGAAAGCTGAAGAGCAATATGAGGCTGTGGTTGAAAAATGCAGTCACCGTCAGCCCATCAACATGAGTCCAACTAACCCAAATTAAAGTTCAATTTTTCCCAAAAATTACAAATACTTATCCACTTTCGACAACTTATTCAAGAAAGTCCTCGACAGCAACACATCGCTCTCCAAAATTGAAAAGATTCAGTGTCTTAAGACGTACTTCAAAGATCAACCCCGAATCATCCAGCACCTCTAGACAATTGAAATCAATTACGAAACAGCACGGAAGCTGCTGGACACAAGATTTAGCAACACAAGACTCATCGTAAACAAGTAACCAGACAAAATTTTGGATCAGTCAAAAATACAAGAAGAACCAGCAGAGAGACTAAAGAAGTTACATGACGCAACAGAAACATGTCTGGAAGCATTAAACAACCTAGATATTCACATCGAAACATGAGGGCCAAGACTCAGCAGAATAATGTCTCAAAAATGGAACACATAAACAAACAGGCTGTATGAACTGAAAATAATCCTGATCCTGAAACAAGATTTCTATTTCTAAATAATTAACGCAAAAAAAGAAAATACTCAGTTTTATAAAAAACTTTCCAACTTATTTGCCATTCAGTACATGAATGTTCTGAATTCCAAGTCGAATCGCCAGAAGACGGATGCAGATTCACAAAACATGAACAACTGAATTACGATGCAAAACAATACTTCAGCACAGCAACATGTTACTTATGCGAAAGAAAACATCATACATTATTACTTAGACATCGAACAAAGAAGCCACCCGAATATCAATCAACAATTAAATTTCGCAAACTAACAATTTCCAGACGCTAAAGAGAATACAGCAAAGAAAATTCAGAAGCATGTTGGAATTAAAACAAACAAGTACTTTTCGTCACCGCGTTAGTAAGAATACGGACAGCAATCTGAGCCAGAATCGCATCACTCATTACAGAAGCACTTTTGTCGCTTTGTAAGAGAACACGTTCAAGGCAATGTTACTGAGCTTGGTGGCGCAACACCGAATAAAACGTCCTCTAAAGTTGCAGTAAAGTACGCTCTAAGATTTCCGAGTTCTTTTACACTAACAACGGAACTGTTGGTATTTCCAAAAATTACGCAGTCTCTACCGGAAGAAGATTGTGAAGCATATCTTTAGGTGTGGCAGAACCACATCATAGCGGATCCAGTATTCCAAAAATCGGGCTCAATACCAACCATAATACCAAAAAACAAACAATGGCGTCATGGGTCAAAATACAAAATTTGGGTTGATCTTGTCCGGTAGTATAATAGAAGAAAACTAAAAGATACAACAAAACCATAACGGTCAAAAACCTGTTGATAAGAATAGAATAAGATCAGCAACTTGCAACGACTGGGAAAACCGCTCGACCTATTGGTACGCAAGAATCAATGGAGTCATATTTATATTTCTAAATTTTTCATCGAATCTTCTGTTTCATTGCCTGACTTAAGCTATCAAGGGCCTTCCAGATTTTACACACTTTACTATTACTGCTAATTTCTCTTCATAACTTTCTGTCTTTGATTTTCAGATCCAATTGCAAACAAAAAGCAAGTAATAAGTTTACAAGGCTCAGGGCCGGTTTATAGAAACGCGGGTTAAATATTTAATCCTCGATTAATTTAACACTGGATTAAAATGTGGAATGGGAGCTCGTGATTGGTTAAAACCTGCACGTCGCCTAGCAACGAACCTCAATTAAAAGTTAATCGCGAATTAACTTTAACTTCGGTTTCTATAAACCAGGTCTCAGACTAGTAGCAGGAAAAAAGTTTCATGGTTGTCAAGTAAACCCTTTTCCGACTACTCGGCCCTTTCTCCTTACAGTTGAAACAGCGAATACAAACGTATTGTTACGAAATAAGCCCATACGCCGCCCCGGTACGACGCCTATGTGTCTTCTAACTAGTACGTACGCGTTGTTTCTCGTATGTAGTCTGACTCATCGGCAGAAGAAGTCTCGAAGCGGCGCTCGAAAAGCCTGGAAGCGGAAGTCGCGAATACCCAATTCGAGAAAGATCTGGATCGCCGAAATATGGATTTAAATAGAGGCCACCGTCGCGAATGATCCATTCATAATTCAGTCAAGAGTGAAATGAGCGAATGCATTTAAGTTGCGAAGTTATCACTGTTATAACTATAACACTACTAACTAGCAGTGTAATTCGAGTTATTATTGACCCGTCAGTCGTAACAGTATTACTGTTCTCCACAATACATCGCATATTAAAAAAATATTCAACATTTAAAGAGGAGATAGACATATTTTGGATCACGTCACGAAGATTAAAATTAATTTTTACTGATCCTGTATGAGTCAAAGTTATATCCTTTTAGGATCTATTGTATTCTTTTTAGCTGTAGTATGTTAAACTTGATTCATCACACTATATCAACCGCGTTATTCAGTTGGCTTGTAAGGTAATTGGGTTTTACCTGTTAGCCAATGTACATTAATAATATCATTATTATTCAGCACTATCAACCCGGCCCGGCTTAGCACCGGTAGCATTAAGTATCTATTGTTGAAAACCGCATGAAGATCAGTACCGTAGTTTTTGAGATTATCTTGTTCAGTTAGACAGACAAAAACTTTGTTTTACACTGGTATTGATTGGATCCATTCAGTGGATGATTCGATCAGATTTCACCCATAGAAGCGAATTCTGTTTCGAAATCATTATCTTATCTTGGAACCAGAGTTTCTGCTCGATCTTCTATACCGGCGGCGTCGATTCTTTCTTAAGTTTGCATTAACGATGCCGTGAATTCCTGAACCTGGATCTTCTTGATGCATAACGTCGCTATCTTTTGCATCTTCGCTGATTACATCCTGATTCTCAGTAACTACTTCTATTGCTACAAAAAATGTTTCACCTTCGTTTATTCATGTTTGTAAATCTGATATCACGTGAAACAACGATTTCGTACAAACTGGGTATCCAAACGCGATAACCTGGATGCTGCGAATATTCCCTTTATCCCGCATGGTTCTAATTTCCCATTTCTTGTATCCTTGTAATATGTATGCTTTTTACGCAATAATTGTTTTTCAATAATCTTACTTTCGTCCATCTTGAAAAATCGTCTATAAACTAGGCTCTACTCGACTGCACATCGAAAATTGTCAAAACATTGTAAATAAATTGACAATTCGGTCAATTTGTTGTTTTGGCTCATCACCAATTTCATTTTCGCACCACTCGCGTATCTCCATGTCTTATGTTTTATCATCGCAGCCTGCATCCGTTTCCAAGTATCATACATTTCCCGAGATAATACAGGAGTGCGAGTGCGCTTTTCACAAACTAATGTATGTACAACACTTAAAAACGAAATCAAAGTTTAAGAGAATAGAGGATAGTAGCCAGCTTTTAATCAGGGACCATAACCTGTTACCGTAACTTTAAGATTGAATGAAAGTACAAAAAGGGAATGGATATTTCAAATTATTAGCAACGTTATTTTGGTCTAATATCTTATTGCTAAGACAACAACGATCAGTCGACGGGGCTCCAGTCGCCGACTAAACACGGTAAATATTTTCTTTAATATCCTGTAGTGCGTAAGATATAATTTGTAACTGATTCTACTTGTGCTTTCATTTCTAATTCCTCTCATTTTTGCTCGTCAATAATAACTCCATTCCAATATTTGAATCAATTTTTACATTAATTGGGATGTATGATGTTGTGTCTTGTGTCTTCATTATGTTGATTTTTAAATTCAATCTCTTTAAAGTTTTAGTTTTATATGGCCAATAAATACATACAGTTTTTTTTTTATATTTGGTACCATTTATTAATTCGCGTGATGAATTCTTTGTTATCAGTTCTTATTTCTTTTATTTTGGTATTCTATCAAAGACTTTTCTGAAATGTTTCTTATCTGTAGTTTTAAATTTACATGAAGTGGCAATATAGAATATAATGAATTTACGGTTCCTCTGATCGACATTATAAATACTGGTGTTTAAGAATAGTATATTAAAGAACGAGTTTAATAAGGCAAATATTGAGGCACGAATCCAAGTTTATAGAACGAGCGGCGAAGCCACCAGTTATATAAAGGATGAGTGCCATAATGGCCTTATAAACAAATTATTTACACTATTTTTTCGCAAAATTTAATTGAAATTTGCGTTTTTTTTTTTTTTAATCTGGGAAATTTTGTCGTGGTTGGTGATGGATTGGTCGTACACTAACCACGAAATATTTGAAGTTCGAATTTTCACAACAACAACTGTAATTCGAATCAATTCGAGTTTTTGTAAGTTAAAATGTCTTGTGAAGAAGTTAGTGGAGTCCTTACGCCTCCCGAAATACTGGAAATTTTAATTTGACATTTGCCACTGATATTCAGCTGACATTTCTCGTCATGGCTACAAATCTTACCGATCTAAATTACACCAGATCTATTTCAGAACCCCTTTCCGCTATAAACGAGCTGCTTTGACGTCATTTGGGTGCTTTAATAGCTCTATCAGAAAATCAAAAAACGTGCGCGGTAGAAAAAACCTTTTTCCAAACCCGTCTAATCACTGTAAAATTATTCATGTCATTAAAAAACAAAAGAAATAGAGATCGACCTTCACATTATAGAGCTTGTTTTTACTTGAAAATTTATTCTAATTAGTTCATTCATGAACAGTGTTTAGATTATGCTAAAAAAAACATCGTTGCATTTATTGTTAATTATTTTTTACAGTCTAGTTTTGATATTCTGAACTTGAATCCGTTCGCAGGTTTTGACACTATGCTGTACAGTAACTTAATATCGTTTGTAGATTTATAATCTACAGCTTCAAAATTATAAGATCGCAGTAACGTAGAGAGAATAATTTTCATTGACATTAAGCCATATTTAAATCCTGAAAGAAAACCACATATTAACTTTAAATAACAAAAAAGTACTTATTTATCTAACTTTAATTATATTTCAACAAGAAACCGTTAGTGCAAACATTTCAAAAAGAATAACAAGCTCAAAATAAAATAATAATAATAATAAATAAAACTTAAAAACCACATACCATTCTTTTCATTCTATTTAATAAACAGTCGTTAATGACTAATTTTATAGCCGTATTTTATGATTGAAGTTGATTTTTAAAATATATGTAAATGCTATCAGATAAATCTGCCAAACTATTATTTAATTGAAAAATAAATATGCTCAACTTCACACTTATTTTGTAAAAAAATATGTTGTGACATATTATCAATGTGGATTAATCACCGACATGCTAAATCCTTTCCAAGGGACAATTCCATTACAAATTATGTTGCTCGCCCGACATGACTGTCAAAGTTTAAAAGATCTTTTAGGCCACACTGTTACGTACCTCAGTATTAAAATGAAGGAAATGTGGTTCGAAGATACAATAACTCACCTATGCAATTTCTGAATCCGTAACTAAATGGAATAAAAGCACATCGATGTCTAGTTGCTTCTTTTTGATAAAGGAACCTGTCTGGGTTAAATGTCATCGGATCCTTCCATATATCGGGTTTTAAGTGAATGTTACATATTGGAATAAGTACAAAACTGCCCTTTGGGACAACATAGGTGTCTGCAATAAATAAATAAAAATGTCTAACGTCTTTACAAAAACAATATTGTTACTTTCAGTGTATTATTTAATAATCTTTTTTATATTTTTAAGATTGTGTGTAATGTTATGTCCCTGCAGTTGTTTGGTCTTATTATTAGTATTCTAATTTCCTTTTATAATTCGTCACTAATATCTTGGAGAAAATGAGTAGAGAAATTTCAAAATAATCGGTTCACTAAGAAGATCTATGTAATGCTTTAATTGCGTACTCACCTAACTTTACATTTTCCGTAACTGTTCGTAAAACAATCGGTACAGTTGGAAATAACCTCATAGTTTCATTGATAACACACTCTAAATACACCATTCTATTCATATCTTCTAAAGTTGCATTTCTCTCAACAGAATCAAAAATTGAATCAAGCTCATCATTGACTTTTTCCTAAAAAGGTAACAATATATGAAAAGTGTATTTACCACGAAGAATCAAAAGTTACTAGAATATCACGACGTAGTGACAAAACTAAGAGAATCATGCTAATTGTAATCGCCGCTGTTTCACTTGCAGTGACAAGAATTGTCTGCGTTTCTTCACTTATCACATGTTCCGTAAGGGCACTTTCTTTTTCCGCGACAGAAAATAAGTGATTGAGAAATTGTTTTCTTTTCAAATCACCAACTAAAATACATAAATGTTAGTTTTAGAACATATTTTGTAGGACTTTTTGTACTTGTGTTTTGGTTGCGAAAATTGGCTTTTTTTGTATTTGTTATCTAAAATTTTCTTTTTCATTTACAATTATTTTATCACATTTTAAAGCGTATACCTTGTTTATAAATTCGAATGTTTCCTCGGTAAGTTTCTCAAATTCTCTTCCTAATAAAGTATATTTGAAAATGTAATCGGGATGAAGCCATATACTAAAGACACGAATTGTCATGATTTCCTCCATTCTACAAATACGCCAAATAAATTTACATACTGGTTTGACGGACTGCTTACCTCAGAATTTTTTCAATAAATTGGTCTTTATCTTGTATTAAGCTTGGTTTAATGTCACAAAGTGTTTCTACAATTCCTGCCTTATTAAAAAAAAACACCGATTTTGTTCTTACCTATTGATATATTTAATGAACAATGAAATATTTTCATGAGAAAATCAAAGGGATTTCCATCGCAATTACTTTCCAGTGTCTGTACAAGCTCTTTAGAATGCGCACAAAACACATCAACAAATGAATTAAGAACTGCTGAATTAAATGTTGGATTGATTATTTTTCGGTTAACTTTCCATTTGCTTACTTAAATAAAAAGACATACAATTTTCACTCTTCATAAAGTAAATGCCTACCTGGTTCATTCAATAAACCTTCACGGACGATATTTTTACCCAAATTGTAAAATTTGCCTTTCTCTAAACAACTGTTCGACAAAATTTCAATATCCGAAGGTTTGGAAGTAACAATGAGCAAATCTTGGCCCAACCAAAATTTAAAAATTGACGCCTGTGAAGAAAAAATTTCAGTCATTTTTTTGTGGAAACCTGCAAATATTCAGAATAATATAACGCTGAAAAATAAATGGACAAGAACCTTTATGACCCTCCCAAAATAAGTGAACACTTCCTATCAAGGGCCAGGCGAACGGACCTTCAAACTGCGACGCATAGTAATATAGATATCGCCTGCTCCACAGATATTTGAAACATAAAATGCATAAACAAATTACGACCAAAGTAACAGCGTACAGCGATGTTATATTTTTTGTGTTCATTGCTTTAAGTCACTATATGTATAAGAATGATCACTAGGGCACAACATCACAACTTGAAACGTAGTGGATCAATAAGGTTCGTGAATTTATAGTTATTCTTTTATTTTTTGTAAACTCGTTGCATTACTTTATTTAATTTTATTAATAATATGCTCAGAATACTTAATCAAGCTGGTTCAATGTCAACGGGTGCAACGAAATGTTGAAAATAAATTCATTATTAAAACGTATCCAAACAAAGATGAAAAATATAATTATTGATTTTCCATTAAAAATATTTGGATTCTTTATTTTTTTTATTTTTGTGAATAAACTTTATGTTTACTGCAGAACCTTATTTTTTATCACGCTTTTATTAGCTTGGGTTGTATGTATCTATGTATGTATGTAACGGAATCTTTGAGCTTAATTTTCATCGGTTTCTAAAAGTCTGATCATCTTGAAACTTTGCACACGTCTCAAGGATCGATGACAATGCAATAATTTGATAACAGTTTCCCATTATCCTTATTAGGACCGCCAGGATTTATAAATTCTTTTATGGATCCTGTGTAGTGGAGTAAAAGAGATAAAGCTAGCGCGCGATCTGCGCATGCCTGTAGTATCTGGTTTACTCTTCGTTGTAATTATAGTCTTGATTAAAATACAAATAACGGATATTAAATGAAAAAAACAAGAACGGACTTTTAATTAACTAAACGTGTGCAAAAATGGCTGATCGCATCTTAATTGTGTCAGTATATACCACGGTTATCTCTCTCCGTGTCGATTATACCGATCTATACCGATTATTTCTGTTTCAAGGACAATATCTGCATAGCTTTGGTTTTACAGTCGGTAAAGAAGGAATTAATTATAATTAAAACATATCTAATCATGAATTCTCACCAACTTAAATAAAGATAACAAATTTTGATTCAGAAATACAAACATGGAGGAAAATTAACTATTTGGGGGGTAAAACTAACCACAATGATGAATTGTGTCCCGTTGGTCCGTGAGGGCGATTGATTTCGAACTAATTCCCGTTGATCGATCATACGGAGACCACTGAGTGGTTCTTTCTAGAAAAATCTAAATAAGTAATTAATTCCCCAATTTATGAATTTGTCGCAGACTAAAAAATGAAAAATAAATAATAGTTTAAAAAACTAAAAAAACACGCTTTTATTGCTAATCGAACTAAAAACTAGAAAATAATTTTTAATGACAGAGTTTAATATTACAGTAGTAGAAGATCAAACAATCAATCATAATAAATCACCTCAAATTAAAATTATAATAAAATTTAAGTTACTAACAGAATAATTCAATTCAGAGTAAAAAGCGTGGGGTGCATTTTACTGCGGTTCATAACTATCCTCTCATAGATAGTTGCCAATAGAATGATTGTAATATTTAAAATATCAAGCACCCCACGCTTTTTACTCTGTATTGAATTATTCTGTTAATAACTTAAACTTTATTATAATTTTAATTTGAGGTGATTTATTATGATTGATTGTTTGATCTTCTACTACTGTAATATTAAACTCTGTCATTAAAAATTATTTTCTAGTTTTTAGTTCGATTAGCAATAAAAGCGTGTTTTTTTAGTTTTTTAAACTATTATTTATTTATTTTCTGAACATAAGCTAGCGAAATAGGGTCCACTCGATCAATGGCTAATTTCATATTTTCTTTCTTCACACTGTACAAAGCAAAAATGTCGATCAGGTCTGGTCAAGCCAGGTTCTGGAGGATGTAGAATTGGTGAATTGGTGGCGATGTCGGTCGATGATGTTGAAGACAAGCGTAAACTAATTATTGCTGTTTTTTCTAATCGGAAATAGGCGAATTTTCGAACGACGCTAACACGTGGTGTAAATTTGACTTATTGTTTGTAAATTCACAGTTCATGTTAGGATTTTAATCGTTACTAGTTCTAACACAATTTAACAGTCATAAGATTGTTCAGATAAAGCACTTGCTAGGAGATTTCATGAGATTCACTTAGTCAGGACTGATTCTTTGTTTATCAAGTTATCAATAAGGTTTCTGGGCGCTTATACTTGTTACATTATAATACTTCTTAATTAACGTTGTTCCACTCTGGGAAAAAGACCGTGGAAAGTTTGGTAGAATTCATAATATCGTGGACTGAGGGACGGGGGGATTAAATTTTTCTCCTTAGGCAGTCATCATCCGGACATCACCGACATGAAATTCTCACGACGTGGGAAATCACATCATCGAGACATATTTCTCGCGACGTGTAAAATTACACCACCGAGACGTAATTCTCACTACGAGGGATGCATTTTGTATTTATTTATCATGTGTTTGTTTGGGATAAGGTGGGGACAGTCCACGATATAAACTCTCAAAGCTAATTGTTTTAAGTAATAATTAGTAATAAAATATTAATCTCGTGTAATTTTGTTAGATATGCAATTTTTCACCTCCTGCGATTTTTCTCTATCTCACAATTTTATTTAACCTTACTACTTTTCTTTGCTATATAATTTAAATTGAACGTAAAGATTTTGTTGATTAATGTTTCCACCATATGAATTGCCTGATGTCCAATCTTAATTTCAGATAAAAATTCTTTGCTGTTTAAAATTTCACGAGAGTGTATGGCTAATTTAAATGTTGTTTATTGCTTTTTTTTCAAACTTTGACACTTGTTCATTTGTAGTTTAATATCAGAGTCATAGAAAGTGAACAGAACCGGAGTGCTCGGTTCCTTTGTCGAGCTGGCGGGATTTATGGCGTCATCTGCACAAAAGACGCAGATCTTTAATAGAAGTCAGGGGAGCAGTTGGAATGGCGTGACGGTCGCGGCTTATATATATAGCCGAGATTTCCAAGCACGAGTTTGCGACCGTAATGGCCTGTTAGCGCGGAACGTTTCTTCCTTAGATAGAGGGGGGCATGTGCAAAATCACCGTTGTGGTGGGAGAACAGCCACAACCAGGCGCCCCAAACTCCGCTCATGCTACAACACCACCTATGGGTAATTTTGCTGTGCTCTAGAATGAAATTAATATAGTTCTTATAGCGACCCGTGTGCTCCCTCACGAAGAGGCGCTCTGGTGCCGCTGTGGCTGAGCTGCATAAGGTTTTATTAAAATTTTGTTCTCTTATTGACTGCTATAATTTTAAATTTGCCGCCACACATCCGCAATAACTTGTGTATATGCATCCAGATACTTTAGTTCAGATTTTTTTCTTTGTTTTTATTAAATTTGTGATATTCAAATATTTGCATTGATTCAGAACGTTTAATTTTATTCATTCAAAGTTAGGCAAGTTTTTTGTAGCTGAGAACTAAGAGGTCTTCAACCTGCACAACTTAGTCGTTCGATTTTGTAAGACGATCACAGCCAAGGCTAAATTTTTCGATTCTCTTTCAATTCGTCTGTTCTGTTTACAAAAATTTTCGAAAACCTTATCATAAAAACTGAGACTACTTTTTAAACCTTTTAAATAATCTTGCTCAACTGATAACACTGCCAGTGATCACAGTCGCATAAGTTTTTATTCGCTTAAGTATTGAAAAAGTACGTTCTACGGAAGCAGTACTATATGGTACATCAATTATTAAACAACATAATTGTACACTTCAGGCATTGCTTCCGAAATTTCGTTGTCTTGTAGGTAAGAAAAAATTTCTAGCAATTATTTGTCTTTAAAATCAGAGGTACTAATATAAAACAGTCAATTCGTTTATCAAATAAATAGGAATTGTACTCTCAGAGAAGTAATTAATGATTGAGGAAACTGTTTTTTAAAATCATTACATTTCTTAGTTTACGTAACTCAATAAAATCTAAGAATTTTAATTTTTCAAAACGAGTTGTTATTTGGCCAACTATTGATTTGATATCTATGATTTCATAAAATAATTTTTTAACCATGAATTTTCTTCTTTGGTTTTTCGGTTGTTCTTTGGTTCATCGACTAATGCCACCACCTTTTCAAATATTTGTGTAAATTCTCCTCTAAAATTAGAGATTTGTATTTTTGTTTCTTCTATTTTATTAATGCAGTAATTCATTTTGTAGCACTTTGTGACAACCCAAACTTCCCGCCTTTAAAGTGACCTTGAAAAAGTTTGAAAGGCCTGCGAAAAATTAAAAAAATCAAAGTTTGGCCTTGTCTGTGATCGTCTCACAAAAAGGAAACCTACGTTGTGTGTTTTTTTTAACATGGGGGGAGGGCGTTCTTTCATACAAGTGAGCATATACTGCGTGTGAGTTGAGAGCGCAAGAAATAATAGACAAAATTGTTTCGGAGGAGATAACATGTCAACCCTCTCAGGAGGAAAGAAGCTGCGAGGATTCACTCCTCAGCCCCAAAAACCTCTTATCGTATATTCACGAACATATTACATTTCAAACACCTTAAAAATATGAAAGAAAAGCCACTCGCGAATTGACAAACGAACAAGCGCAAAATCCTGTATATCAATGCAAGTATTTGAATAATAACAATGCAAATACACAAGTTATTACGGGCGTGTGGCGCCAAATTTAAAGTTACGGCAGTTAACAGGAGCACAACAAAAGTATCCCTGGGGCGTTCTAGCACAAGCGGAGTTTGGGGCTACTAGTCAGGGCTGTTCTCCCCCCTGGATGGTGATTCTATCTAACGCAAAGTCTATCAGCACGCACACCTCCATTACGAACATGCTGTGCGAAACTAGGCCATTACGGTCGCCAGACCCGCAGTCCCGTTACAACATCGGCAGCCGTCCCTGAATCTATCCAAACCTGTGGACTTGTACAGGTGACACGATAAATCTCGCCAGCTCTACTAGGAACCACACTTCGCTTCTGCCACGTTTTCTGTACCGTTGTGAGGACATGCCTGGATGAAGTAATCAATCTGTAGCGTTTTGAGGGCAAGCCTCGATGAAGTAATCATGATAACGATGATAATAACGAAAGGAAGAAATTATCTTAATCCCCCGCCAGTTCGCGGTATGAATTTTGTTTAACTGTCGTAAATGAACTATTAGCTATCTTGTGTGAAGAATTAAGAAGTGTTATAATGTAACACTTACGCATATGCATCCAGAAACCTATTCGTAATTAAACAACAAAGGTGTTTTCCTGACTAAGTGAATTTCATGAAATCTTCTATCAAGTGGTTTATTTAAATAATCCTGATTGTTAAATTGTGTTAACACTAGCTGACGATTAAGAAAAACTAACTTGATTGGTGAATTTACAAACAATAAAACAAATTTACAGCACGCGTTCCGCGTTGAAAGATCGCATGTTTTTTTGATTAAAAGCCGCAAGAATTAGCTGCGCGGGTTGGGAACAACTGAGCGCCGACGGCGTTAACATTGATTGTCGTTAACAAAGACTTCGTCCCTTTTATTAACTACCAAACCAACTAATTTAAACTAGCTCTTAACACGTGTTCACATTCACCATGCACCCACTACACCGAACAGAAAGAGAATGAATCACGCTTTCGACATGCCGCCTTCTGTCTACCAACCAACCAACCAACAAACCCTCTAACTAAAATTCCCCTAGCGCTACTAACTGTCCAACTATTCTGCTAGCGTTACCGTGCACCTGGTTGCCTATGTTTAACAATTTATTTTTTTGATTGAATTTTTTTTCAAATTCAAATTATTCAAATGTGATTTCGCGCCGCTGTTAATTAATTTCAGCGCGAAAATTTTGATTTAAATTCGGTCACCACAACTTCTTTTGCAAAACATTGTATAGATGATCCGTATGGGCAAATATGTGATGAAAAATATGTAGCAGAAATACTGTTTTAAAATCCTTCAAAAAATTTAAGAATCCAGTACTTGAAACTATTGCGTCTTTGTCCCAGTTTTGGGGATTTTCTTGCACTAAAATAAAAAATTCTACAAGATGTTGTCGGTGATTGAGCAAGGACCAAATTCAATACATAGGCGCAACAGTGTATAAAAATGCTCTTGTATATTTTTCTCTAACTTTTGCCTTAACTCCATTAAGTTCTCCCGCCATAACTGCAGCACCGTCATAGAACTATTATTTATTTATTTATTTAACGATGTTGATGTTAAAGTCATTAACGAAACTTAAAATTTCTACATCAAAATTATTGTCTGTTCATCCTCCACAAGAGGATAAAAATTGTTAATTATATTGAGTCACCAATAAAAAATTCCGTATTTACTACCTTCATGTACTTAAACATATTGTTACGTTAACCTGTGATTAAAATCAGCGTGGGTAAAACTCAACAATGTATTTCTTAGTAACTCAAATTTACATGACTATTTGCACAGCGATTAGGTACAAGACAATTCTGGAGGAACTTGACTGGATTCTCTCAACTTCACTGGACTCGATTCGCGTATCCAATAATAATCGTTCAGGAAAGGTGGCCTCTATTTAAACCCAAACTTCCCTTCTCGAGGTTTCGTGATCGAGGTCTTTCTGGAATACCCATCGCGACTTCCGCTTCCAGGCTATTCTTTAGCGAACGCCACCCATCAACGCCGTACATACTAGAACCCACAGGCGTCGTACCGGTGCCGCGTATTGGTTTCTTTCGTAACAATATTTGCCCACTAATTCCCAAACATCTGGTTTTTCTGATATGTCTAATGTCATAAAAATGCGACACGTAAAGTTTGTCAAACAAAATCAAATTTTTCCAAAGGAACAGTTTGGTTTTAGAAAATATAGATCTACCACTCATGCCGCCCTGACAATAGTGGTCAACATTTTAAATAGTTTTGACAACGGTGGAATTCTATGGAATTATAGGAGCACCTTATATTCTTATTAATTTTATTTAAAAGAAAAGTATTAATCTGTTTTTGAAAAGAATTCTTTACCTGAATTACCACCCGTTAAAATTGAAGTAGCGCATGACTTAAGGGTTTATTGCTATATCTTTAGTAGCTTAATTACCTATGTACTTATTTTCTGGGGAAGTAAAATTTTCAAAATACACAAAAAGCAAATCATACTGATGAAAGTCAAAATAGTTCAGTAGTTTTAGTAAAAATTTAGACTTTCACCGTGGGGATCATGATAATCTGATAATTTCGCACCATCATTTAAATAGAAAATAGCAAAATTTACAAAAGAAATATAGACGCAGACTAATCTATTGGTAACACCCGAAAGAAACTAAGAAAGAATAAAGCAACACAAATCTTCTTTCAAACAAACGTTGATAGTTGTCGGGAGATACAAAATATTCACGATCAACCATTATAAATAACAAATAACTGCATGTTGCACTGCAGTTTGATGAAAGACAAAATAAGTACTTGCGTATTATTATTTCAGTTACAACGTTACATAAATGACAAGAAAATTCTAATCAGAAACGCTTTGAATTGTAACATTCTTCGCCCTTACGATGAGCGAAGTAAAACATTTGAATTTCAACATCTTAACGTTGAAATCGATAATGATTTGGCCGCCTGAGGGTCGCATGTCGTGGAGATATGAGACAAAAAGTTTAGCTCTGCTATTTATAGTATATTTTAGTGCCTGGACCGTTTTTAATGGAATTGTGAGAACACTGTTTTTTGAATCCGATGGATATGACGCACTTATTCAACGGATTATTGCACTTATTGATTTTGCTGGATGCATTTACATGAGATATTGTTTTCTGCGCAAAGTTGTTTACGTAAAAGACATGATTGAACACTTAAATGAGTTTGAACAGTTTTGTCCACAATCGGAAATTGCTGCTACTGATGTGAGAGTACATTACTACAGCAAGGGTAGGTGGTATATTTACATTTTTAGTTTTAAAATAACAAAATACCTTGTTTATGTTATGTTGCTTTAATTTAAAACTTTGTGAAATGATTTATATCTACAAGTTACAAGTGCCGGACTAATTTTTATCTTTTAATAAGTATTAACCACGAATGCAACTCGTGGTTAAGTTTTGTTCCAAAACTTTCTACTTATAGAAATAATGTACAGTACTGATTTTTATAATAGTTCTGTGGTGTCCCGATTTGAACATTTGAACAAAATTGAATCTATGCGGGGGCAAAGTTTAGGGAGGTTGCCAGAAAGCCGCCCCCTTTTCGTAGGTATTTTAGGGTGTTGTGAGAGTAGATACTGTTATCTTTTCCAGCTGTCATCTGTTATTGGTTTTTTGGTAATTTAATGAACTGTATAACACCACTGACCGAGAAACGTGATTGCCACTTACGTCGAAAATCCAAATTATATGAAGAACGTGATCCCTGTGGACTAATGGCACGTTGTTTCTACCCTTTCGATGTTTCCACGAGTATGTTTCCAATGGCGTATCTTATTCAAGTTTACACTTGTGCTGTCATTACTTACTACGTTGTTGTATTAACAATGCTGCTAGTGGGAATAATGATGCATACTTTAACACAGCTACAATACTGTAGAAAATTAATTAGAGATTTATTCAAAAGAGACTCACATGATCCAACAGTTTTAAAACACAAAGTGAGACGAATCATCATGTATCATATTAAAATTATTGAGTAAGTATTCAGACTGTCTTTGAGCATAGTATATGAAGCAACTACAAAGACCTACTTAAACATTGTAGATCCATTTCTTACGACAAAGGAAACTCAACATCAAAATCGATAACGTTAGATCAGAACTAGAACTTATTCAGTTAAATTCAGACGAACATGTCCAATTACAATTACCTCAACTTTACTATAACCGTCTTAAGAATTTCAGTTTTATGGCCTAAAGGTAGCCAATGTTTTAATAAATGGAGATTTTTTAAAGACAGTTTGCTAATTTTGTCTATTTTACCTTGCGCTTTGCCTATTCTAGCTGATTTTCTTATTCATCTTCACGGTATGATAACTTACATTTTTGTATACGTTTTAATAATTGTATGCATCGTTCATTATTAGGTAACGTCTACAATGTCGCAGCACTTATAGAAAATTTTATTGCATTAATTTGTATAGTTGGAATGGTATACATGATCATATGCTTTATTCATAAACGAAAACTCATCAAGCAACTAGTCGAACAGCTGCCAAATTTTAACTTTTATAATAAACCGTCTAACCTTATGGAAACTGATGACAAGGCCAACCTGTATGCCAAAGTTTTCTTATTCTATGGAGTTTTCGGCAATATTGTGTACATGATAATGCCGTATTTAAATATAGAAACATGTAAAGTTCGTCAAGCTCAAGGTTTAGTAGACAGAGACGTGCCGTGTGGTCTTGTAACTAGATGTTGGTTTCCTTTTGATTTTGACTACAGTCCTGTGTTCGAAATTGTGTTTGTACATCAGTTTTATACATGTACTATGGTTTCCTTGATAATTTTGGATCTAACGATGCTTCTTTGTGGGTTTTTGATGCATATTATCAACCAGTTGAAACATCTGAGAAACCTCATTGCTAAACTAAACTGTTTAGAAGCTGTTTTTGCTAGAAAAATACGTTTCTGTATACAATATCACCAACAAATTATAATGTAAGTTAAATTTTCATGAAACAGAATCTTGTTTTTCTTCCTATTATTATTAGGACCCACCACTGACCCGGAAATGACCGGCATTCAGGCAAGACTTCTATCATTACGGGTACTAAGACCAAGTAATGATATGCATTGATTATTATTTAAGACCCACCACTGACCCGGAAATGACCGGCATTCAGGCAAGACTTCTATCATTACGGGTACTAAGACCAAGTAATGATATGCTTTGATTAGATTAACAGAACAACTTTCGAGATTCTAGAATTACAGCATACAAATTAGTCTGCTATTATTCTCTAATCTCACCCCATCCCCAAAAGTCAAGCGTAACTACCGATCATTTATCCGCGCATCACATGAAAAGTGACCTACACTACTCTGACCTACTGGTGCTAATCTAATCTGACTGACATGATCAGACTGTTCAAGAAACTTACGAACAATATGACATGTTCCTAACAAAACAGCTTTTTGAATTTTGACAATTATTGAATCATTCAAGTGCAAAGACTTTAAATTCTCAACTAAGCTATTTGGAACTACACCTACATTAGAGATAACTAGGGGTAGAATTGAAATTTTTTTAAGATTTAACATGGATTTCATTTCTATCGATAATTGTAGATATTTGGAAATCTTGGTGTCGTATGTTTGAATAATGTTGTTTGTGTTGGGAATAGCAATGTCAATGAGAATGGCTTCGTTCGTGTGTTTTTTGATAAGTATGATGTCTGGTCTGTTAGCTGTAATGTTTAAGTCTGTAAGTATTGTGCGATCCCAGTATAATTTGTATTTGTTATTTTCAAGGAATGGAGACGGAATGTAAGTGTAATAGGGTGTCGTATCTTCGATTAAGTTCATAAGTGTTGCTAATTCTTTGTGAATGATTTTGGCTGCGTTGTCGTGTCTAGCTTTGTAATCAGTTTGTGCTAGGATGCTGCAAGAAGAGATTATGTGCTGGATCGTTTCAGGTTTTGCTTTGCATAGGCGACAGCAGTCGTTTTTTATGTTCGGATCTTTGATGATGTATTTTCTATAATTCTTGGTATTGATTACTTGGTCTTGAATAGCAAACACAAATCCTTCTGTTTCGGCATACAAACTTGATTTTTTTAACCAAATCAATGACATCTTCTTATTGACATGATTTTCTTCTAAGTCTTTGTAGAATTTTCCATGTAGTTGTTTTTGTTTTAGCCCACTTATTATTTTATCTATTGTGTGGGGGGTGTGGATTTCTTCGGTGTTGTATCTACTACTTTACTTATTCTAATTATTACCAATATTGTAGATATTCTGATAAAACTAATGAAGCATTCAGTACAATGATGATGCTACATTTGACTTTAACCTCTCTAGTTATCAGCGCTTTGGGTTTTGAAATACTTATTGTTGATAATTTTCACGACTCTTTAAGATTTACTTTGCACCTGTTGGGTTGGCTAGTCCTTTTGCTACTGATTTGTTACTATGGACAGCTACTTATCGATGAGGTACCAACACAAAATTTGTATTTTTATACAAAGTTATCTACTATTAATTACAGAGTATTGCAATAGCCGAAGACATTTACTACGTCCCATGGGATGCAGCTTCAGTAGACGTTCGAAAAGATATTTATATGATGTTAATGAGGTCACAAAAACCTCTCACTTTAAATGCAGCTAATATGGGGGTTATGTCGTTTCCTACATTTTTAGGAGTAAGCTGGAATTTCGTTTTAGAAATTATTTACCACGCATTTTTAGGTCATAAGCTCCGCCTATTCGTATTTCACGCTGCTTTTAAATATAAAATCATAGAAATCTGAGCTGAAGTGGGTTTTAATAATGCACGAGACATCACGTCGATACTGGATAGGCAGCACACAAGACTTCAAACGAAATAAGTTAACATCACAAACAGTTTGGTTGTTTACTAATATGTAGCTGTTTTAATACAAGCATAAAAATCTCTATCAAAACAATCTTCTAACCTTAAAGCATAAATGGGTAACGTTCGGCTAAAGAAATAGTGGGTATACGACGATGGCTTCATAAGGCTTTTACAGCGGTTCCCTCATAAAATTCGATAAACGCAAGCAATGACACGTTACGCAGACAGTTAGATAGGCCACGTGCCGTATTGAAATAATTTTTATTTGTTAGTCTTACAATCGGAGAAGATCTTGGCCAAACAAGCGGATTTACTGTAGGACTGACTATACATTGTAATAACCCAAACTTCCCGCCTTTAAATTGACCTTGAAAAAGTTTGAAAAGCCCGCAAAGTTTTTTAAAAATTCAAAATTTGGCCTTAGCTGTGATCGTCTAACAAGTGGGAACCTACGTTATGTTTTTTTTTTATTTTTTGAAAAGTGGCGGGAAGACGTTCTTTCATACAAGTGAGCATATAATGCATGTGAGTTGAGAGCGCAAGAAATAATAGACAAAATTGTTTTGGAGGAGCTGCCACGGCACCCCCTCACAGGGGGAAAGAGCTGCGAAGATTTATTCCTCAGCGCAAAAACCCCCTTGCTTTACTCACGGACATATTACATTTCAAACACCTTAAGATATATAAAAAAAAGACACGCGCGAATTGACAGACATACACATATGAAAACGAACAAACGCAAAATTCTATACAGCTGTTTGGAATCAATGCAAATATTTGAATATCACAAATTTAATAAAATAACAAAGCAAAATCTGAATTAAGTAACTGGATGCAAATACACAAGTTATTACGGGCGTGTGGCGGCAGATTTTTAAAGTTACGGCAGTTAACAGAAGCACAACAAGAGTACCCCTGGGGCGTTGTAGCATAAGCGGAATTTGGGGCTACCGGTCTGGAGCTGTTCTCCCCCCATGACGGTGATTCTATCTATCGCAAAGCCTACCCACACGCACCCCCATTAGGATCATGCTGTGTGAACTAGGCCATTACAGTCGCCAGACCCGCAAGGGATCTCGGCTATGGGCCGATGCCAAGAACTTTACAACATCGGCGGCCACCCCTGAATCTATCCAAACCTGTGGACTTGTACAGGTGACACGATAAATCTCGTCAGCTCGACTAGGAACCGAACTTCGCTTCTGTCACGTTTTCTGCGTCATTTAACCTCAATTCCATTTTTAAATATTCAATCTCTTATAACTCTGATATTAACAACAACTGAACAAGTGTTAAAGTTTCAAAGAGCAATAAACAACATTTAGATTCGCCATACAATCTTGTGAAATTTTAAACAACAAATAATTTTTATGTGAGATTAAAGTTGGACATCAAATAATTTATATGATAGAAACATTCATCAGCAAAGATTTATCAAACAGAGGATCTGGTGTGTAATAAATTTGTACAAATAAAAATATTATGTGAGGATAAAACTGTAGAACATGAAATTTACGTTCAATTAAAATTATACATACAACAAATAAGATTACTGAGGTTAAGATTGTGAGATTAAAGAAATTTTGTATGAGGTAGAAAATTGCAGAGTTAACAAAATTTACAGGAGATTAATAATTGCGATGCTTTTTCAATGATTCAAAGAAAGAGTTTACATTATGTCAAATTATATCATGATCTAAGTGATATAACAAAAATATCCAATCAACGCTCCGAGGCAAAAAGCGTCTCGGTGATGTAAATTTTAAAATCGTTGCGAGGAAAAGGCGTCTTGATGTAAATTTCAAAATCGTTGCGAGAAAAAAGCGTCTCGGTGATGTCATTAATCTCTAGCGTTGCGAGGAAAAAGTGTCTCAGTGATGTAATCAATCTGTAGCGTTGTGAGGGCATGCCTTGATAAATTAATCATGATAACGATGATAATAACGATGATAACCGCCTAAGGGAAGAAAACATTTTAAACCCCTCCCGCCAGTTCGCAGTATAATGAACTTGTTTAACTGCCGTAAATGAACTATTAGCAATCTTGTGTGAAGAATTTAGAAGTGTTATAATGTAACACTTACGTATATGCATCCAGAGACCTATTCGTAATTAAACGTAAGGTGCTTTTCCTGACTAAATGAATTTCATGAAATCTTCTAGCAAGTGGTTTAATTAAATAATTCTGATTATTAAACTGTGTTTGCACTAGCTGACGATTAAGAAAAAAACTAACTTGATTTGTGAATTTACAAGCAATGAAACAAATTTACAGCACGTGTTTAGCGTTGAACGGAAGTCTGCATTTTTCCGATTAAAAGGCCGCGCGGGTTGGGGACAACAGAGTAACGTTAGTTACGATTGATTGTCGTTAAACAACGGCTTCCTCCCATTTTATTAACTACCAAACCAACTAATTTAAACCTAGCGCTTACCACGTGGTTACACTCACACCAGCACATTCAGAATGATACTACGCCATGGAGTTTCTCTACCAACCCTCTAACCCTGTAACTGAAATCTCCCTAGCACTACGTGCTGCCATCTAACTCAATAATCATGCAAACTAAGCCCTAAGCGCTACGTGCATTAAACCCGACATGCATATTTGGTTGCCAACGATTTCCTTTTCATAATTGAATTTTTTTTTTTTCCAAATTCAAATTATTCAAATGTGATTTCGCGCCGCTGTTAATTAATTTCCGCGTGAAAACTTTGATTTAAAACCGGTCACCACAACATCCTCTGCAAAATACTAGCCGCTGTCTCTTCTGTTAATTTTCTTCATGCTCTCCGGTCTTATACTTTCTTCCTCCGTTTCTGTACTTTCATCCTTCGTATATCTGCTTGCACTTGGTCTTCCCTTTCCACCCTCTTCGCGTCTCTCCTTATATGGCCGAACCATCGTAATCTTCGCACCTTTATGATTTGATCAAAGTATTTCTCTTGCAAGGTATTCTGTATTTCTGAGTTTATTAGCCTTCGGATTTTCCCTTGCCCCACTTTCTTGGGTACGTCTATTCGTCTCACTATTTTTCTCTTAATTCTTCTCAGCCTCACCTTTCGTCAGATTTATCGTGTCCGCCCCGTAGCCACTCTGTATACTCAAAATTTCGTTTTTCTACTAATTCCTTTGCTTTCCTTTATATTTTTATATTTTCTAATAGGCCCTATGTCCCGCTTTATTCCGTGGTCCACTATTTCTATCATTATTGTTGTTAATATTAACTCCCAGATAGGTACCTGAAGTTTTCTACCATCTCAAATTTAAGATCTCCAATTTTTATTCATGTTATGGTAGGTCAAGACATACTAGCTGTGGAGTGTGTAACAATTAATTTATATTTAATTTCAAATATTTTTTTAGACATTGCTACACAGTGCAATAAATCTTATTGTGAGCTAGTCCCCATTTTTTTTATTCCACACATTTCAAAATCCGCTTGTATACAGTATATCCCGTAAGCATATACCGGAATTCTCCTATGTTCCGTCTACGACTTCTAGGGCCAATTTCAAATTAATTTAACTACGTTTTTTATGTTTTCTCGGGACACGTAAAACGATAAAAAGAAGAAATGTCTTTTACGTCAACAGGTTCACAGACATCTATTCTTTTTATGTCCACGTGTCCCAAAAAAACATAATCTAATGAATAATGGACGAGAATACAACTAATAATAATTTAACTACGCACGAGACCGGATTGCTATGGTAATGTCGCAAAAATCTAATGGATTGTATATATATTGTGCCATTTTTTGTGACTAGAAATTAGCCCCCCTGCTTTTTTAGTTCTATATAGCTTTACATTGTTCTTTCTTCTACTACCACAGAGAGATCAAAAATGATTGAGAGAGTTGGTACCTACTGTTTTTTTCTTCAAGTTAACAACCTGATGACAACTCTGTGACAAATCATTGTAAGGTTATGATAACTCCAGTGGTGTGACTAGTAAAGGGAACGGGATTATATACAACTAAGAATGTCTGACCTAGTTTATTTCAAAATATCATAGAAAATTAAAAATAACTAAATAAACAAAACTTAATACGGAAACTAAAGAAACAGAAAAAGATTACAATAAATGTTGAAAATGTTGTCCATTATTTTCTAAGCAAATATGCACCAGTCTTTTTAAATTTTCAAATAAGTTGTGTAAAACTTGGAGACCGATACTGTTAATTTCACGGACTACAGCATCTTGCAACTCGTCCAAACTAAGTATGAGGTCTATTGCGAAAAATGTTGTTTTTTAAGTGTCCAAACAAAAAGAAATCTGTTAAGTCTGGTGACTTAGAAGGTCATCATCCTCTACCAATCACTCTGCCAGGTAACATTTGTCCTAAATAATGCAGCGTGGTAGCAACTGTATGAGGAGTCGCACCTTCTCGTTGAAAAAAAAAAATTTTTCTCGTTGTTCTCCGTCCAGTTGATTTACAAAATTGTCTAAAATTAGTGTTCTATGCCGGTCGACATTTATCGTTTCATTAAAGAAGATAGGCCCAATCCTTTTCCTAGAGATGTCAACCCAAACACCGATTTTAACGGGGTACAAATCTGTCTCTACGAAAACATGAGGACTTTGAGTAGACCAAGTTCCATAATTCTGGGAATCCACGTATCCCGAGAGGTGGAAATAAGCTTCGCCCCTAAAAAACGTCGTATCCAAAATTTCATATCCGCATTTATATTGTCAAGGAACCAGCGGCAGTAACGAACGCTGGCTTCAAAGTCTTGGGGGGAGTAGATATTGAACCGTTTTCTTTAAGATCGTGACAACTTCCGTAAGCTATACTCCTATCTGTTGAGACAGTTACCCAATGTAATTTTGACTTTTTTTGTTCGATCCTACCGGTTTCAAGAAACCGCCCAATAATACGTGTACACTGTGTGAAAAGATCAAATGCAGTTTGTATATCAGGATACATGCCCATAAACTGGTCATAACA